AATTAATTTCTTTCTATTTTTAGTAGAGACGGGGTCTCGCTCTTGCTCAGGCTGGTTTCGAACTCCTGAGCTCAAACAATCCGCCTGCCTCAGCCTCCCAGAGTGCTAGGATTACAGGCGTGAGTCACCGTGTCCAGCCGTAAAATAGACTTTTAAATAAGCTACATAAACTTTTTGGTTTTGGTTTGATTGATCATACCATTGATACTAAATTTAGAGGAGCAAGTCCAGTAAGTTCTATGCATATTTTTTGGGAATTCTATCTAGTAACATCTACAGAAAATTCTGATCTTTTTAACTAATAGGGATATTTATTTAATCATTAATTAACATGTACATATACATTAATATGTAGATATAATGAACAGAAGAACTGAAGATTGATATAATGAGGTAAATTGAAATTTTCTATCTAAACTCAAGATTTGAAATGTCTTCATTTGAAATAATGTTGCAACTTTGTTTTCTAGTTAACTATAAATGAACCTGTTATCCTTAACCTTTTAAGATACTCTTTATAAGTCATAATTTTTCTTTCTGGTTTATATATAATGGTGTCATTGTTTTCCAAGATATTTCTTTTTTTCCTTCCATTTTAACATTTTTATTTGCTTATTTATTTGTAAAATAAATTTTATTGTGTATATTTGAGGTTTACAACATGATGTTATGGGATACATATGATACATAAGTATATATTGCTAGTACAGAGGTTGCTATAGTGAAGGAGATTAACACATCCGGCATCTCACATAGTTACTTTTTTGTGTGATAAAAGCAGCTAAAATCTTATTTAACAAAAATTTCTAATACAACACAGTTTTATTAACTTTGGTCCTCATGTTGTACATTAGCTCTCTAAACTTGTTCATCCTACATATCTGCTATTTTGTATACTTTGGACTACATCTCCCTATTTCTTCTCTCCATCCCCCTACTGTGGTAACCACTGTTTCATTCGCTCTGTATTTTAGTTTTTTTTGTTTTTTTTTAATTTCACATATAATTGAGATCATGTAATATTTTTCTGTTTGTGTCTGGCTTATTTCACTTAGAATAATGCCCTCCAGATCCATCCATGTTGTGACAAATGGCAGGATCTCCTTTTTAAAAAGCCGAATAATATTTCATTGTATATTTACATACCACGTTATCCATTTGTTTGTTGATGGGCATTTAGGTTGTTTTCATATGTTGGCTATTGTCAATAATGCTTCAATGAATATGGGAGTGCAGATATCTTTCCTAGATGGTGATTTCATCTCCTTTGAGTAGACAGGGTACCCAGAAGAGGGATTGCCTATGGTAGTTCTATTTTTAATTTCTTTGGAAACCTTCATACTGTTTTTCATAAGGGCTGTACCAATCTACATGCCCCAAAACAGTATACTAGGGTTCTCTTTCCTTCACACCCTCACCAACATTTATTTCTTGTCTTTTTGATCTATGATCTATGATATTAGCTGTCCTTCAGGGGGTGGGGTGATATAGTGGGTTTAATTTGCATTTCCCTTATGATTAGTGATGTCCAGCACCTATTCGTATACCCATTGGCCATTTTTGTGTCATCTTCGGAGAAACGTTTGCCCCTTTGCCCCGTTGCCCCTTTTTTAATCAGCTTGTTTTTCTGCCGAGATCTTTCTAAAATGGAGGTTCCAGACGTATCAGTATCTTAAACCTGTGTACTTACGTACATTTAGAAAGGAAAATTACATGTTTACAGCTTAATGTAAGATTTCTGTAAGAATTGCAAACAGTGATGGTTCTTCCATTTAGGCCTGGCAATGTAGGTAATATAAAACACTGCTTGAACTTTCTTAAAACATAAACTTTTGAAAGGGAAATGCTGAAATCTTTGCCACTCATCATGGATTTTGTTGGGAAGAAAGAGAAATCCTTGAATGGTATATATCTGGGTAACACATGAACTGTTTGAAAATACAGTCTTGCTTTGTTACAGACTTCTACAGTCATCTTTGTTTCCTTAAATCTTTTCATATAGCTAGGGAGTTTTAAGATTAGGCATCTACAGAGCAGAGGTAGTATAATATATTTATATTTGAACACTTTCTCAAAATGTAAAGGAAATACTAATTTGATCTTCATTGTCAGGTACAAGAGCTGTCATTGGGCATTTTTTTTTTCTTTTGCTGACTAAAGAACTTTTAAAACGATTGTTTTCATTTGTTATTAGTTGGTAAAGCAATTTTAAAAATAGATATCTAAATGTGATTTGACTTTTACTTCTTCGGAAGTTTTACTGTATACGTTTACGATCCTGAAATAACTTCTAGTTACTGGAGCAAATTGAACAAAGGAACAGGCCGCTTTGTAAAGTAATAAGGTCTCTATTCATAGAAGTGTTTAGGTATGCATACCCACCCTACCGTCCCTCCAAATATGCATATACCAACAAACAATTAAGGATATTGTGGAATGGATTTTTATGGTTTCTTGGAATTGCAGAAGTCAGTCATTCTAATTTTATGACAAAGAAATTTTGAATTAGAAATGCTATAAATTGTAGTGTTGCTAATTTTGCTTTAATTCCAAGTTTTTTTTTTTTTTTAGCAGCTCAGTACTTGCTTAGATTTGGTTGAATCTCTGTGAAAGGTAGTTTTTAGAAGAAAGAGTATATTAACTTCTGTACCATATTTTATATAAACATAGACTATATCTTGAAATTTAATATTTAACATACTGAAGCGGGAAACACCTTAGATCCCCATGGGAAAAAATTAGTTGGATCTTTTTAGCTCTCAAATAGATACAACCGATTAATTTTATTTTTTCTTGATCCACTGACAAATATCCTACCCATTGAGAAATTTGAATGCTGTATAGGAATTTAATAACAGTTGAATGGTTGTGGTCATTAATGCTAAGAAGTAATTTAAGGAAACAATTTGAGGTATTTAGTGTTTTTTCATAGATTTGCAAAGATAGAAATCAATATAGCACTCATTTTTTTGAGCACTTAGTGTGTACCGGGCACTATGCAACACTTTATGTTCCGTTTCTTATTTAGTCCTTAAAACTCCATGAGGTAGGTATTAGTATTAATCTCATTTTATAGGCTTGGTAAAGTAACCAGCCCTGAATGTCGGCCTTTATGTTTTGCAAGTTTTTTGTTTTTTTTAAATCTGTTAACTTACATTGATCACATCTTACACCAAGCTTCCAAATTTCTTTAACATGTATCTCATTTAATATTGATAGATGTACCATGAATGCTCAAGACCGCATTATTTACAGATACATGTTTTGTCAGCTCTCTACTTCTTACTGTTATTTTTTGTTATTTCACAGCAGTTACTAACCTAAGACAGATGTTCTCCCTGGCGTCCAATTACCCAAGTCCCAGAAAAAATCCACTCAATTGTTAAAACGTTAAAACCTTAACAACATATTACAGTACTTTGAAAATTAGTTCATATTTTATGTCAGCTTTTATTTTGCATTGAAACCTCTAAAACTTAGCAAAGGCTCTGCCCTCTCCAGTGCTGCTGGAAAAATAGCAAAATGTTTTGTTTTGGTCTTTCTAGCTCAGTATCATCTCCCTGTTTGCTGTTGCTTATGTGTAAAATTATTGTATTTCTTTTAAATAGTATAGTTCAAACACAGTAGACCAAATACGTGTGCTATCTTACATAATTTTATTTCTAAAATTCTTAGGCAATTAGGGATAAAGCTACTGTAACATTCTTACTGTCTTAAGTTTATTTTATATTAAAATGATAATATTGTATTGTTTTTTTTTTTAGTTATGATTGGTTTTTGCATTGTTGCATGTTATTTTAAACACCTGGCTTTCTTCATTTAACAATTTGATTTCCTTTAATCCATGTGAATACCTTACTATTAGTTATATTCATGTTATTTCATTAATGCATTTTTGTTTATACATCTATCCTATTTAATTAAGGATAAGAACTCCTGTGCTTTTTAAAAATCTTTCCAAAACCAAATAGAGAAGTTAGTGATTTTTATATATTTCTTTTTGTCTGTTTTAGGATGGCTACCATAGAGTAGTTAATATTGTGCCAAAGAAACCACCACTGCTAGACAGACCTGGTGAAGGAAGCTACAATAGATATGACAGTCATGTTGATTACCGAGAATATGACGAGGGCCGCAGTTTTTCTCATGATCGAAGAAGTGGTCCACCTCACAGAGGAGTATGTAAATTTCCCCCATGTACTAATTGTTATTTCTTATAAGTTTAAAATTCATGTATTAATAATTTAAAAAAATTATGTGACGGCCATGAAAGCAGTTGAGTAAACACTTGCTGCTTGATGCTCTGTTGAATTGCCTGTTAGAGCTGTCAAATGGGAACTAGTAGTCAAGGATTTTGGGGTGCTGGACAAAGTGGGTAAGCAGTCTGGTTAGCTCTATTTAAATGAAGTTAATTCCAACTATCCTGCTTTCTTATCCCCTAAAGTAGCAGAGATTTGCAGAACCACATAAAGGTAATCTATTGCTTTGGTACTTAATAAGTGATGAGTGGTGGTTACCATCTCAGAATGGATGTACTCACTTAAAATTTCTTTATTTTCATCATGACGAAATGCTGTGGGTGAAGTTAGGTTAAAGTTGCTGATAGTCTCATTTTTGTTATACTTGTTATCAAAGTCTGTTTACTATAATAATTCAGATTAGAAAGCACTCAAAACATTGTCATATAGTAAGCACTTTTTAAATGTTAGCTATTATTATTACTATTACTATTATAATTTGTATCTCTTGGTCATTCTTAATAATGTAGACATATGTATTTAATGTTGCAGTAATCTGTCATTGAATTGGATTGAAACTGTTCCTTGATGTACTTCCTCTGTCCTAGTTTGCATATTTACAACATTCCTCTGCTAGACTGTTTTCCTACCTTTTACTTTTTCCCTTTACCTACTATATGATATGGTAATTAATAATACATATTCAAACACTGTTTGTAATAAAATTTGAGCTCACATTGGCCGTTGGAATTAGTTTCCATGCTTTATCTGTAAAGAAATGGAGGTAAGGTGATTTACTCAGGGTGGGTATGTGTGGGAGTCCAGTTCTCTTACTACTAGATCGTAGTCACCCTTAACAGTTCCAAAGTGGTGATGAGACTACTCAGTTTTTTCTCGTGTTTGTTTCTAAAGTTTGGGGTGTTACTGGTTCCTTCTCATAGAATTGATTTTTATTTTATTCAGTTTTGAAATATCATGCTGTTCCTTTAGGAAGAGGGGTTGGGTATTGAAAAGTATATACTATGTGTTATGTTTATTCTAGAAATACTGGATTTTGCCATCAGATGAGAAACTATTCGGTCTTAGCATAGACATTTGTTATCCCTTTTTATGAAAACCCTGTGTGGCTGGGAGTTTTATATTCATTGGACCAGTTTGTATTTGAAACCTCATGAACATGATTTTTCCCAAAAACTTGTAGCATAGTAGTGCTTCAACAATAGTTTTTTTCTATTATTGTTACCAATTGTGTTTGTCTTCATACTCTATGAAGTAAAAGATTGCTATCTTCATACAACATTTTTTCTTTAAATTCCCTTCAAACAAACAGTGATCCTTAGGACTCTCATGACACTAATTCTTATCTAGAATTCAGTTATATAAAGCAAACAAATTATTTGATCCAACATTATTATTGCTATTGAACTTTTAATTTCCTTTTGTTTATATTTAATGTTGAAAAGGAAAATGATGAATACATTTTATTTATATAAGTATAGGTTATGTGATACTAAAGAGGAAGATGAACATAATATTTACTTTAGCAGAATCATTTTTTTCTGATTATAAGTAATTTGCATGTCATACTGCTCTATGTATAATTTTAAAGTAATTGGGTGTGGGTTGCTCTGTGGTTCCTTTATGCAAATATGTCTGTCTGTCTTGGATGACAAAATATGCTTCCTTTGATTAATTTTAAATGTAGTGCTCTAAATTTGCTAACTTTATATTAGTACTATAATATAGCTTATGGCTAAGTGACAGTTTATTACATTATTTCCAGTTTTGGTTTTCAATGGGAGATAAGGTGAGGAAAGAAAACCTGAGCAAGAAAAATGGAAAAGTGGCAAGTTTTTGATTGGGCTTGAATCTGAAAATTGATGAGAAAACTTGACAGAGAGAAAAGTAAAATGAAAGGTTGAGGAATGCGTGCTTGATTAAATTTAGCCTTTATCTTCAAACAGCCCTTAAGTGTTGTGATGTTAGTATATGTATCTTTGGCAATTAGGCAGTTTGAGTCTACCAAAGAAATAATTTAAGCATTTTGGTAACAATAAATGGTACCACAGGTTCTCAGTCTATTATTTTAGTTGTTGAAATGGATGACTTGCTGTTATCTTTTTACCTCTTTATGCCTTTGAAGCTTAGGGAAATTTAGAAAAGTATTTTTGCCCTCGTAGCATACTAGTTTCCAGTAGTATTGTTAGATGTATCCTACTTGCCCAAAATAATGTAAACAAATACCTAAGTAGCTTTTTTATGTTACAGGATGAATCTGGTTATAGATGGGGAAGAGATGATCATTCTGCAAGCCGACAGCCTGAATACAGGTAAAAAGATCAAAATAATGACATAAGTATTTGATACTTGACTCACTGAGGTGTCTGCTATTGAAATCTAACCTCAAGGCACATAGACAAAATATTTTATTAGGATTTAAAATTTTGAAAGCAACAAGCATTGTATTCTTTTTGTGACTACATAATAGAACAGCACTGATAACTAGTGTTCTACATCTGTTGGCATTTTGTAATTGATAAGAATATATAGTTCATAATATTTGAACTATAGATATATTCTTACAAATTAATTGTTAAGTTATTCTTAATACGTGGTATGGATTATGAGGTTTGCTTAATTATAAATTAGATCAGTTTGCTTAATTAGAAATTATTTTCATAAATACTCTTCTGAAAATATTTGAGTCCTTACTAAGTGTCTGCTATCATAAAGCATTGTCTCAGTTGCTTTATTTTGATTAATAAAGTTCTGTTGGTAAAACACATTTTGGAAGGGCCTCAATCATTGTTAGTTTTGGTTACTTATAGAAAGCATCTGGTAGAATAGTTGTGGTGGGGCAGAGGGGGGAAGTGATGAACACATTTAACGAGGCTGATCGATTTTATTTGTTTTGTTTGTTTGATATCACAGTGGTGGTGTTGGAAGTTGTAAAAGGAACCTTTTAAAGATCTCTTATGAACTGTCAGGGAATCGAATTGCAATCTCATAGAACGTGTCAAGGATTCAACTGCCACAACTCCATAGGTGCCAAGAGTAGACAACAAGATTCAGTGGGTCAGAGCAAGACAGTTTATTCACAGCACAGCAGTCAGCAGGGGCATCAGCACTGTAGTGCAGGCCTGTCCTCAAATCCCACAGGGCGATGTGATAGGCAGGGCTGGTGGCCATGTACACAATGGGACACACTGCAGCTAAGGAACCCAGAGTTGAGAGCTCAGTACCTTTTGTAGCAAGCAGGAAGCAAGCCAGTCCTTCTTTCCTTGGGAGCAAGAAGCCATACAGTAGCTACACTCTGGTCACCTTGACCTATTTGTCTTTATAACCAGCTACTGATACTGTTCAGTATTTACTGGTGGATAGTTAGATAGTCTTGCAATTTGGCATATATAGTAAGTATATGCAGGGACATTCAGAACCCATGGCAGACTCTCTCTCTCCCAAAAGAAACAATAGAGAGAATAGCTGCTGAAAAAAATGCTTTGATAAAATTCAGTACTAAGTAGTTATAAAAACTGATAGCCACCTGGGAATGGAAGAGAATTTCTTTGACCTGATAAATGGACATTTATCATCCTGAATTATTTGCTTTAAAATCAGAACAAAGTGACACCTGCTGTCACTGCTTCTACTCAGGATGGTAATGGAGATCTCAGCCCCCACAGTAAGACAAGAAAAATAAAGATGTAGGGTTTGAATGAAAAAACAAAACTATTTAAAGATGATGTAATTATCTATGCAGAAAATCTAAGAAAGTCTACAGACTGTTAGAACTATTAGGAAATAGCAAGGTTCACTGTAGTAAAATCAACTGTCAGCATAAATTGGAAAATTTCATTTAAATATAGCAAAAAACCATAATGAATAATAGGAATAAATCTATCACAAGTGTACGAGACCGATATAAGGAAATTACACATCATCTCTAAAGGACATAAAAGAAGATCTGAATAAAAAGAGCAACATAGGATATCCTTGGCTAGGAAGAGTCAGTATCATAAAGATGTCAGCTCTCTTCAAATGAAGGTGTAAATTCAATATGGTTTAATATAGTAAAAAATGCATGATTTTTTTTTTGCATGGAAATTGACAAGCTGATTCTAAAATTAATATGCAAGAGTAAAGGGCTAAATGACAAAAGTAATCTTGAAAAAGATGTGAAGACTCAAGATACCATATATCCAAAATTATAAAGCTATAGCAATGTATTAATAGAATCAATAGAATCCCAGATCTGACATCAGTATCATCAGTATATTTTTTCATACCCCTGAATATAGTTATTCTTCTCACCCTGTGGGTCTTCCTTCTTGTTCTCTCCAGCATCTTTCTTTTTTGCAGCTTGCCACCACTGGCTGCTGCTACGGGGCCACCTTGCTTTCACACTGTCTTCCACAGACCTATTACTGGCAGTGGAATTTTATGTTTATAATTTAGCTAATTTTGTCAATTTTTTTTCCCTTGCTATGTTGCCCAGGCTGGTCTTGGACTCCTGGCCTCAAATGATCCTCCCACTTTGGCCTCCTCAAATGCTGGGCTTATAAGTGTGAGCCACCACACCTGGCCATTTTTTACTTTGTTTTATGTGTCTCGTGTTAAATAGAACATCATATACTTTATAAATCTAGTATATGTGTATTAGTGGTTCATATTTAAATATGTTTTACTAATGGAAATGTGGAATCATTGGAAGCAAGTGGATTAAATGACAGCTAACAGAAGAAAAGAGAATATAATAAGTTTTCTGTTCCCTCTGCTCTGAAAGTTACCATGTTGATGTTTAATACAGCCACATGCCTGATAAATTTATTGGCATTTCAAGTGTGTTGTCACCTGCTCATCTTGGTTCTGTATTTATACAATGATTATATCTATTTGTTCAAGACATACTTATAGATGAAATTCAAAATATATTAGGATTTATTTCATTTTGTATTAAAGGAACATGTCCTATTTTACCAAGGATTATTGACATAGACAGAATGAGGTTGTTTTTAACAGAGTTATTTTTTCCCCTGTAGTTTGAGATCTTATAATAAACCTTAGGATGGAAGTGATGTAAAGTGTTGTATAATGTTTAAAAATATGGAAAAAGAGTGTCAGCACGTGGCCAGTATACTTTATTTTTAAATGCCAGGGTATTTTTCTATATTCATATACGGAAATTTTTTTTTTTTTTTTTTTTTTTTTGAGACAGAGTCTCACTCTTTTGCCCAGGCTGGGGTGCCGTGGCATCAGCCTAGCTCACAGCAACCTCAAACACGTGGGCTCAAGGGATCCTACTGTCTCAGCCTCCCGCGTAGCTGGGACTACAGGCATGTGCCACCATGCCTGGCTAATTTTTTTTTTCTATATATTTTTAGTTGTCTGATTCATTTCTTTCTATTTTTAGTAGAGATGGGGTCTCGCTCTTGCTCAGGCTGGCTTCGAACTCCTGAGCTCAAACAATCCGCCCACCTCGGCCTCCCAGAGTGCTAGGATTACAGGCGTGAGCCACTGTGCCCGGCATATACGGAAATTTTTGATTAAGTAGTTCACTGTTTTCATACTTAGTGAATTTTTAAAAATAGAGTAGATTTTATTTTTAATTTTATTAAAGCAATTTTTATTTTCTTAGGCAATATACTATTTGACAGAGAATAATGCTAAAAATGTCATCTTTGGTTCAGTGGTGCAAATATTGAGTGTGTAGGGCACTGTGCTTATATCACTAGCTTACCATGTAGTGAGTAAAATAAATGCACAGGTAGATAACATAATAGGATACATGCTAAAGTTGTATAAGGTGCTATATAGGAAGATAAGTCCTTAACATGTGCTAGGGTTCTAGAAAAAGTTTGCTGTAGGAGCCGATAATATGAACAGAACTTGAAGGAAAAAGTAAAGTAATAGTTAACCAGAAGAGTAGAGTAACGGGGAGCATATTCCTGCAAAGAGAATAGCATAAGCACAGCTGTATAAAACGTAATCTGTAGAGGTATTAACAGATGATGCATGAGCCAGGGAATTGTGGGTTAAATTATAACTAAGAAGTCTGGTTTTTATTCCATTAGCAATGGGAGCTATTGAGAAATATTGACCTGGTAGGGAGAGGAGGGTTAAGATAACCCTATCAGATTGTAGTTTATTTTGTCTTCAGTGTAGAGGATGACTTTTTTTTTTTTTTTTTTTGAGGATGACTTTTAAAGATGGCACTGGAGGCCAGGTGTGGTGGCTCACACCTATAATCCAAGCACTTTGGGAGGCTGAAGTGGGAGGATTGCTTGAGGCCGGGAGTTTGAGACCACCCTAAGCAACACAGTGAGAGCTTGTCTCTACAAATAATAATAACAATAATAATAATAATAATAATAATAATAATAATGATGCTACTGGAGATAGAGCAAGAAATTATGAATATCTGAATTGGAGAAGGGGAGTTGGGATGGAGAAAAAAGGTTAAATTTGATAAATGCTTAGGAAGTAAAACAGCAAGATATGGTGGTTGGATGTGGAAAGAAGGAAGAGAGAAATAATCTGTATTTTTGGTTTTGTTTACTGTGTATATAATAATACCATTATCTAAAATTGGCAATATAGGAGGAATGGTTTCGAGAGAGGATCTGTATTCAAAAGTGAGATTATCCAAGGAGAAGATACAGTTAGACAAGAGCAATGAACTAAATTCAGAACCCTGGACAACACCTTTATGGAAGCGGTAGAAAACTTTTTGAACAGTATTAAGGGTCACCAGTGTCTAATGCAACTGAGTATTCTAGTAATAAAAAGATTCAAATATATATTGGGTTTGGTTGTATAAGAATGAACAAGATGACCAGGGTAGATTCAACATGGGTGGATAACTTGTTAAAATATATTTGAAGGCTGGGCGTGGTGGCTCACGCCTGTAATCCTAGCACTCTGGGAGGCTGAGGCAGTAGGATTGCTTGAGCCCAGGAGTTAGAGGTTGCTGTGAGCTAGGCTAATGCCACTGCACTCACTCTAGCCAGGGCAACAGAGTGAGACTCTGTCTCAAAAAAAAAAAATATTTGAGAAGGAAATTGGAGAATTTTGCTAGCTGGAGAAGGATGCTAGCTAAAGGGAATTATTTTTGTTCACTTTTTTTAGATGATCAGTGACTTGAGCATATTTATAAGTGAAAGGGAAAGAGAGGTTGAAAATACAAGGCAGAAAAGAGATAAGCGATGAAGCAAGATCAAAGTAGAACCAGGATGAAGACCACTGATTGGACGGTTAACTTTTAACAGGGAGAAATCATATACCAAGAAAAGAAAGATGAAATTAGGGGTGAGTACAGATGAAGATAAATCTG